GAATTCAGTTCTGGATCCGTATCTGAGACATGCTTGGATTGATGAGTTCAAACTTCACACACACAAGGTACATCATGTCACAAATATGTGCATTGTTTCATGATTTCATTAACGATAGCCAAATGGCAGCCTCTTTAAGGTCGAAAATGCATTGAAATCACACATTTTCACCATTCCGAACCCGGATTTCAGTTATGCATGGGAGGATTTTGTTCAAATTTGGTACATACATTAAACATAATAGGACCTTGATGCACGTCATTTTTTTTTCGGATCAAGTTCGAAATGGCCGACTGGCGGCCATTTTGTTTTAATAAATTCAGTTCTGGATCCGTATCCAAGACATGTCTGGATTGATCAAGTTCAAACTTCACACACACATGGTACATCATGTCACAAATAGATATGTGCATTTGTTTCATGATCCGCTTAACAATAGCTGAATGATGGCCATTTTAAGGCCGAAAATGCATCAAAATCACATATTTTCACAATTCCGGAACCTGATCTCAGTCATGCATGGATGGATTTTGTTCAGATTTAGAACAATGTGTTGTACATATGCAGGTGCATTTCTGTCATGATCTGCTTTGAATGTATATGTCACTCAAATATGAACGGAACGGAACGGGGACGTGTCATTGACAATGACATGTCATAACTATATTTTGCATTGTACAATAAATTAGTTTTCCAAGCCTTTACATTTAGGGATACTGATCTATAGATGTTGCTTTCTCAGGAATTAAGAGAGTCGGTCCAGATTGAGCCAAGTACCAGTGGTGAACCAGTGCTGAGTGAAAGACAGACTGGTGAACCAGTGGTGCAATGTACCACTACATTGGCTGATCCTGATGCATTTGATGTTGATAATGCCGAGCCAGATGAAATTATGGATCTAATAGCCAAGATTATTAAGAAATGTGCCCCTGGATGTAAACATGTACAAGCGATAACAACTGCCAGATGTCCTGTAGTGAAGTTTATCCATTCTGAGTCTGGGTTGTCATGCGATATATCCGTCAATAACAGGTAATTTGTTACATTTTGTATGTTTGAAACATGAGATGTGATGACTGGAGGGAGATGAGAGATGGGGTGAGGTTGGGGTGGTGTGTGGATGGGGTGGTGAAAAGGTGTGGAAGATGACTAGGTTTGGAATGGTGATGACAGGTACTGATGACAATGATGGGTCGGGACGACGATGACAGGTAGGGATGGCGATCATGGGTAGGGATGGCGATCATGGGTAGGATTGATAATGAAGGGTGAGGCGGGGCGGGGATGGTGAGTAGTCTTGATCATTTTAGGTTTGGTTTTTAAATTTACCAGCACATACTCTGCCTACTTAATTTCAAGGTATCTTGATATAGTGTCTTGCTACCTTTAAACTCTATATATCATGTATTTTAACATTACTATTCACATGCGTATCATCTATATACACATGCAGTTTTAGTGCAAACATATTTCTTGCATAATAATACAAAGTGTAGTTCATGTCTTTGTTACCATATTTTTTTTATTAGAAGTACATAAAGTGTAACAGTCCAGTTAAAACATTTAACATAATAAATCAATTGTGAGTTTGATGTGATCTAAAAAATCACACCAATAGAACACACTGTACATTTACATTACCACATGATATGCTAGAACATCCTAGTCATTCAATATGCACATACACAAGAGCTAAGTAAATAACTCACTACAATGTTTTTTTTCAAAGCTTGGCAATGCAGAATACAGAATTGTTGCATCTTTATGCTAGTATTGATGAACGTGTCCAATCACTTGTGTACTCATTGAGACAGTGGGCTAAGTATAAAGAATTGGCTGGAAATGCTAGTAATGCTGGACCCAGACTTACAAACTATACACTCACATTAATGGTGATGTTTTACCTGCAACAAGAAGAATTCAAACTTATTCCTACAGTAGAAGAGTTAAAAGCTGTAACAGGTAACCATAAACAAAGGCATTCCCTTCATAAATTGTTGAATCCAAATAACCAATCAATGGGCATTGTGTGTGCAACAGCAGCATTAAAAAATGTTATTCAATATGCCAATAAAATTCATTCATTAATTCTGAAATTTATAATATTTATAAAAGTGAAGGGAATGCTTTTGTTGTGTAGTGGGTGCTTCTTAAAGCAAGCATCTGATGTGATATGTGATGAGGATCCCAGATATTGTAATCAGGTGAATTGCAAAATTAGAACAAAAATCCAAGACAAACATACATTTCTCAAAATGAATGTGTCAGTGAAAGAGCTGGTTAATGTTTGTCTTGTGGTATTTCAAAAAAATATTCTAGCCTATACACAAAATCTCATTAATTTCTATTATGTAATAATCTCAAAGCAGCCATGATGTTCTGTAATGCCATTAGTCAAAATTAAGTTTGATTGATGACTTTGTGGGACTTGCAAGGAATTGATTCTTCTGACATTCTTATAATTAGTAAGAATTGACCTGATTCTGATATCTGTGCTCATCTGTTGTTTTTACAGATGACAGTGAGGTGACTATTATTGACAATTGGGATTGTACATTCACAAGACACATTGACAAATTATGTTACAAAAAAACTAGCAAGACAGCAGGTATGTGAAATGATAAATTAATTTCATTTTTACTATGATAGTTATCATTAATAAGGTGAACTAACTTATAAGTTGATATGAAATTATCTTTTGTTTGTAGAGTATGTTGATGTGAATGTGATGTATTATACTCCATACATGTATGAGTAGATAATACAGACCATGACGCCACAAATATCAATCAACCATTTACCACATGGACTAATCCCATGGACTGAGAAATCATGATTGTACTAAACTGTGCTTTAAGAATCATATGCAAATTTATGCCTTTTATGCAAGATGTTTAAGCGGGCTGGTGAATGTGCATATTTTTAGTTGGCATTATTAGTTATTGTCATTTCACCATGTGACTATTTTTGATAACCAAAGTAAGATTCTCGTATTGCAGCAATTCGATTTGTTTTTCACCGCATTCTGTTCATGGACACACTGCGCACAAACAAATTACAGAAAAATACTCAACAATGTGCAACATTTTCAACACAACATAATCTTTAGTGTTCAAAGTGTTAATGCTTGTGCTGCATTATTACTACATTATTGTGAAGTTTCTCTTGATATGTATCGTATGTTTTATACTAATTACTGTAAAATACTTTATTTTAACTGGAATTAATTTTCGCTGAAAATACTTTTTTTGGTGTTTTGTGCGGAATTTATTTTCGACGAGTTGAGCGTAAATCATAAGAAAAAAGGTATATTCGCTGGATTTTATTTTCACTGAATCATTCCTTCATTGAAAATCAATTCCAAGTGAAAATAAAGTATTTTACAGTATGCAAATCAAAATTTATTTAAATGTCACAAAGTTTTATGTGTTTGTTTTTGCAAATTTTCAGAGAAGCTGTTGGCTGAATTCTTTAGCTTTTACTCATCATTTGACTTTGAACATTGTATGATTTGCCCAAGATCTGGCAAAAAGATACCCATTGACAGCATCAATAAAGAAGAAATGAAGATCAAGGTGACTTCTATTTGTATTCGTGATCCTTTTGAGTTAAACCACAACACGGCTATGAATGTCAGTAATAAGTTAGAACATAAACTTGCTGAGGAATTTAGTTATGTGACAGATCTATATCGTCAAGATAAGTTGAACATAACTAATTCAAATAAATTAGTTCCACAAGGTTTAGGCTTGTTACTTTCATATAAATCTAAGGTGAAATCTACAAGCAGTGATGATACTGAAAAAGAATATGTCACAAAGATCTCATTTCATACAAGCCCGAAACGACTTCAGTCAAGTTGCAGTGATTCCTTAGAATGGTTTCAGCGTGTCACCGAGTTCTTAGTAATGATTTTCAAAGATGTGTATTTGTTTGAATGCGAGAAGGAAGATCTAAAATCTGTTGAGAAATTCAAAGAGGATTTCACTGATATGGTAGATGGGGCTGGAGATGGTATAGATGTATGTCCACCTCAAAAGAAAAGACGCACCAATCTTGATGATAAAAATAACAATCCTGGAACATCAAGTAGTATCAGTGATGGTGACAAGTCAGAAAAGAGCGACATGAAAACAATCACAAAAATGTCTTGTTCCACAAAGTACCCTGTGTGGATTAAAAGAAGAAAATTTCGCAGGGTACTTTTACAGCAAAAATGTGAATTGGAAGGGATGGAACTGGAAAAAGTAATATCAGAAGAAATCACAAAAAGTTCAATTGACCAAGGACTAGAAGAGTGTGCCTTTGATTTCAGTGTTACTTGTGATCTTGATGATGCAGACAAATGTATCAGTATGAAATTTGAGTGTCATGACAAGTTAAAAGACTTTCAGACATTTTTTCAGTTCTTTAACATTCATTTTCCCAAGATGCTTGAGAATTATTAAATAAAAACCTTTCACCAGGAAACATTATATACATGATTATTTCTAACATTTAGTGAACTAGTCACATGAAAGTGATAATTTTCAACTCTAAATTATGTAAAAGGAGTGAAACTTTAATGGATTTTCACCAAGAAATCTGTGAAACATCCCTACAAATGATTATATATTATATTAAATATAAGCTTTGGTTTGAGAAATCCTGCCAGTTAAATTTAGACTTTGCGTTTTTTTGGTTTCATATTCAGCAATGACTGCTACTATTTTCGGCAATGTTTATTCAATATTATTTCTTACATTTTTTTTACATTACTTACAGTACATTTTTTTTCTTTTACAAGATTTCAGAGACATTCTTGTATTTTGTGCTATACATTACATTTGCGCCATATTAATCACATTATTATCTAGTCGTAAATACAATTTATTAGATTATCGAGGATGATGTAATCATTTGATAAATTGAAGGTAATGAAAATTTATGCTGTAGTTTTGTATCATTTCTGTTTATTGAAGTAAATTGAAAGATTAATTGATTAAAAAACAATGCTCAGAAGTCCATACTTCAGAAATTTAAGTTCCTTACTAGTGAGATGTACATTTATTTATCAAGTTCACACATATGCTTAAGGTAGAAGCCTCCTCATTAATTAAAAAACAGAATTTATTCATTTTGCAATAAACTATACTCCAAGACAATACAAGAATATTGATCTAAAAAAAGTTGGGGTCACCAGCCTTTTACCCCAGACCATTCGTCCC